CAGCTTCTTCATTGGCAGATGTAACCTCTCTACTAATTTTTATATTTGTAAGTCCAAACCTATTCCCAAATCAGTGTAACCATGACATACTTACAGTAAGTGGCTTGGTGTCATGTCACTCATTTCAGGGGATCCCTTGCTGAAATCTTCATATAGGCTCACTGTTTTCTGGTGCAATACATTGCCACCAATTTGATCGCTTTCTATTCATGTCTTCCACCCACAAATTTGATGCCCTTTCCATCTTCACTAAGCACTTACCAAACACTATCACCATTATGTTTGCAGTTTGAGGTGCGACAGCAAAACTAGCACAAATTTCTTTTTCCTTCTTCACAACTTCATGGATAGAGGATTTGTTCTTACCACAGATCTTAGCAATTTCAGCATATTATTTTTTTTCACCCTTTCACTTAGAGAAAGCACTTTACAGCTTCTATTTGGCATATTACAATTACCAGCATCACTACTTTTGTGCTTAGGGGCCATTGTTAAGTAAAGTAAGAGTTACTCAAATATAAGAACTGCTACAGCAGTCAATCTGGTAACTGACATGGCTACTAAGTGACTAATGGGCAGGGAGCACAGACAGCATGGATGCACTGGTTGTAGAGATGATTCATGTGCTGGGTCAGATGGAGCGCAATGGCACCAGATTTCATCATGCCACTCACTCACAGCAGCATGTAATTTAAAACTCATTAACTGTTTTTTTCTGGCATTTTCCATTTAATATTTTTGGACCAACATTGGCCACAGGTTAACTGAAACTGTGGGTAAGAGGGACTACTGTATTTTGACTTCTACCTCCATAAGTTGGTTTTGACTGTTTTGGGACTCATAATACTGAAGTCATAGTGTATGTAATTCTTCTGTACTTAATTTCTTTAATTCTACATTATACTGTAACTCATCCATGTTGTTGAGTAGAGTTACATTGTATAATTCAACTGTTTATGGTTGTTTGAATCTGGAGCTATCACAAATAATAATAATGCAAGAAACATTCTTGTGTATGTCTTTTAGTAGACATATGAGCTCATTTCTCTTCGTTATATAGTCAGGAGCAGGATCCCTTAGTCGTAGGATATAAATATATTTTCTTTTAATAGGTACTGCCAAACATTTTTCCTAAGTGGTTATAACAGTTAAACCCTAAGTTCCTATCCTTTTAGAGCATAGTTTTTTTTCTGCCATATTTTTACTGGAGGTTGCTGATACTAATTAACGTGGAATTTTGAGGCATTTGCCAGCCCATCCCAGATTTTACACAACACAGCCAGCCCATCCCAGATTATACACCACACACATTCGTATTTTACATTCATTCAATAAGGATTCAGAGGTGGAAATTTACCTTGTCATATGCTTGGAGATTTAATAGTGAAAAATTGCCCTTAGAAATTAAAAGAAAACTATCTGATAATAGTATTTTTCTAAGAGCCTATTCTCTGCTAGGCACTTTAGTCCCACTTCTTCCTCATTGCAATCTTATAAATCAGATATTAGATTGGGATTCTGTCTCAGTTCTGGATATCATGATGCTCATTTTTAAGCTATCTGTTTATTTATTTTAATTTTAAAAGATGAGGTCTCTCTCTCTCTTGCCCAGGCTGGCCATGAACTCCTGGGCTCAAGTGATGCTTCCACCTCAGCCTTCCAAAGTGCTGTGAATACAGGCATGAGCTACCATGCCTGACCCTAAACTATTTATTTTTAACCTAAAAACAAGTAATAGTTTTAGAAAATCTAATATTAATCACAATAAAAAAAACTATTGAATAGATGTCTGGTTTTGTGGCTTAGGAGCAAGGATGAATCTTGACTAAGTGTGGTATTGAATTCATAGGGTGAAACCAGAAGGGGGAAATGACCCAGGGAGGTTCCTTGGATTCTGCAGCCTGTATTGCATTTTATGACTGCTGTTTTCTCTTATTTGTCCTCGATTCCTTCTAAAGGAGGCAGTAACTCAATATATTAAACACTGCCCAGAATCCTCAGTGCTGAACATTTTAATTCTCCCAAATGTTTATCAGCATATGGTTGAAAAAGAAAACCTAGGGCTTTGGTTTCTTAGTTCACATAGTGGGTAGTTCCAGTAATACACCTGCAAGGGCTGGATGACACTCTAAATAATAATATTCCTGATATTTTAAAAATGTGTTAAAGTATGGAGCTCTTAGAATTAGTCTAGAAATGCCTGTTAGACTGGATTTTCAAGTAATAGAGTTCTCTTCCCTTTTAGAGAAAGCTATATTAATCTATCCTTTCATTCATTCTTTATCATGCATTCACACAATGATTCAGCAAGTACTTATTAAGTATGATGTGCCAGCCCCTGTTCTAGATATTAAGCATATAACAGAGAACAGAGAACAAAGCAAAGGTCTTGCCTTGTGGAGCTTATCTTCTCAGGAGAGAAAGAAGCAAGAAAATATATATATGTGTCATGTTGTACTTGGAGGAAAATAAAAACAGAGTAAGGGGCATAGGAATGTAGGCTTGGCATTGAGAACTGCTGTTGCTTTTTATAAGGGACAGTTATGAAAAGTCTCTCAGTCTGTATTAATATTTGTGCTGGGACCTGAAGGGACTGAGTCATGTGGATAGCCACTGACTCAGTGGATATAACCAAATAAAATAGATGTTTTATTTGTGGGCTTATCACCATCTTTGTATTTTATTAGTAAAGGTAATTTTTACATTTATCCAGACATGGATGAACAATATCTGGCACATTTGAGCCACATTGATAATAATTTAGAGATATTCAAGTTAACAGTAATGTGCTGTGGGTATTATAAAGTGAGTTCTATAATGTTATTTTGTACTTCCCTAATATTAATTTTTTGTAGACATTTCCTCCTCTCTCCCCTGTTTTATTGAATAATTTGTACCATTCTTTCAGCCACTCACAGTTGAACTTCAGTCATTTGTGTCTCCTCGTCATCCTCTGCACATCCTTGCTGTTAGACTCTGTTGTTGCCTTGTCTCCCAAATCCATGTCCTTCTTCTGCCTTTCCCCACTTTGTTTTTAGATCCTTCTTTCATCTCAGAATTAGCCATCCTTCTCTAATTCATGTGAAATTCTTTCTCTTTAATCAATGTGAAATTCAGAAAAAAGAACATAGGTTTTCTAAATGAGTCCTTGATTCAAATTGATTCAGATCTGTGTTCTTCTGTGTACTGGCTATAGTGGCTTTTGCAATTTTTGAAACTCAAGCATTCCTTTATAAAATGAGCATAACAATATTTAATTTATAAGACTTCAGTGAGGATTAAGTGGGACTATGGAGTGTTTAAAGTGCCTAGCAGGGAGTAAGCACTTAGAAAATGTTGATTCTTTCCAACATCTGTTCTTCTGCTTCATATCTCTTAGTTTTTACAACTCTAAATATGCTCTTTTCCTCTCTCAGTAAATAATACTACCATCTCACCAGTTTAAATAAAACAAGCTATGAGCCTCCGAATAATCTATTTCTTTCACAATTTAAATTGCTCCATCTGCAAATCCTATTGGTTCCAACTCAACACATATCTTCAGTCTCTCTACTTCTCTCGATTGCCACTGCTATAACCCGAGTCCAAGAATCTTATCTGTACTGTTGCCATAGGTTCTGAATCCATCCTTCTGCCTCCACTCCGGTCCTCTTTCAGCCTGTTTTCTACAGAGCCTAAGTGATATTTAAAACATAAACCAGATAATATCAGTCCCCTGCTTAAAACCCTCCAGTGGCTTTTCATACTCAGAATGAGATCCAACTCTTACCCTCTCCTAACACTCCCACTCTTACGCTTCAGGGGCACTGTCCTTTTTTCTTTTTCTGCTAACGCGTCAAACTCATGGCTGCCTCGGGCCTTAGCACTTGGTATTCTCTCTGCTTGGAATCCTCATTCCCCAGATTTCCACATGTCTTGCTGCTTCTTGTCATTTAGATCTCCGCTCTAATTGTCCCCTGCCTTCTATCAGTAGTACTCCAACACACCATCTTATTTTTCCTAAGACTTACCACTATGTGAAAATAGCCTGCGTTTATTTCTCTATTTTCCCCCTCAGTAAGAATGAAATGTTCTCATTCTAGGCCCCATTTCCTAGCAGGGTGTTTGGCACATAGTAAGTATGCTGAAAAAAACCTTGACTGAATAAATGAATGAACAAATAAATATGAACCCACTTTTAATGAGATATCAAGGTTTTATATTAATTACATGAGCCAAGAATGGTGTTTTTATTTTTTAAATGTGAGGACCTACCTGTTTCATGCATCACACATATGCTTGTGCTGGAAATATGACTGTAAATCAATAGTAATTCAATCCTGGTTTGGGCTTTTTCCTCTAACCTAAATAGTTCTCAGATTTACTCTTCTCCCCATCTCCACTTCCACACTGTCACCTTAGTGCAAATTACCATCCTCTGTGGCCTTTTTTCTGTAAGGTTCTAATCTCCCAGTATCTATTCTCCAGACTGCGGGCCATTGAGCTTTTCAGTTGCTATTACATCTATGCTTGAAAACCCTTTTAAGTTTTCATTGTTCTCAAGATAAAGACCACAATGTGGTCTGGTCCACCACCCCACATCACGCCAGCCCTCACTCTCCACTGACCACACTGTCTCCTCCCCTCCTGGTTCCCGCCTGCCACCTGGCTGGGAAGCCTTGCTTCCCGGTTCCTGCAAAGTTCTACACCGCACCCATTTCGCCCACTTCTTCGGATTTCAGGAGACTGTTCCTTTTTCGGGGAAGCCCTGCCTGATTAGGCCAAGCCCCACTCCCCATCACACGGCCCCACATCACCATGGGCCTCTCTTTCAGGGCTTGTATTTGTTTTAGGAGTATGTACTCCAGAATGCAATCTTATTGACGTGCGTCAACGGGAGCTTGCGCTCAATAGCTATTTGCCAAAGTAATACACGAACTAGCGGCCCGACCCCTCCGCGCCCCTCCCCTACAACTGCCGCGCAGATATTACGCATTAAGCAGGCGCCGCGAGAACGGACAGCGCGGGCGCCTGCGCGAAGGAGCACGCATGCGCAGAGGGGAGAGCCCGCTGACAGATTCTCGGTGGCGGCGGCGGCGGCGGCGGCAGCGGCCCTGGACTGCGGGGAATGGGAATCCTACGTCCCTGACTGAGCACCTCCCCCGCCTCCCTGCCCCCGACATGGCTCAGGAGAAGATGGAGCTAGACCTGGAGCTGCCTCCGGGTACGGGCGGGAGCCCGGCGGAGGGCGGCGGCAGCGGCGGCGGCGGGGGCCTCAGGAGGTCTAACAGCGCCCCCCTCATCCACGGCCTCAGTGACACTTCGCCGGTGTTCCAGGCCGAGGCGCCGAGCGCCAGGCGGAACAGCACAACGTTCCCGAGCCGCCACGGCCTGCTGCTACCGGCCTCCCCTGTCCGCATGCACAGCAGCCGCTTGCACCAGATTAAACAAGAAGAGGGCATGGACTTGATCAACCGAGAGACGGTCCACGAGCGGGAGGTGCAGACCGCAATGCAGATAAGCCACTCCTGGGAGGAAAGTTTCAGCCTGAGTGACAACGACGTGGAGAAATCCGCCTCCCCCAAGCGCATCGATTTCATTCCTGTGTCACCAGCACCGTCACCCACTCGGGGAATTGGGAAGCAGTGTTTTTCGCCATCCTTGCAAAGTTTTGTAAGTAGCAACGGATTGCCTCCAAGCCCTATTCCCAGCCCAACGACCCGATTTACCACCCGGAGAAGCCAGAGCCCTATCAATTGCATTAGACCAAGTGTTCTTGGACCATTGAAAAGAAAATGTGAAATGGAAACTGAATATCAGCCAAAGAGATTTTTCCAGGGCATCACCAACATGCTTTCTTCTGACGTTGCACAGCTTTCAGATCCTGGTGTGTGTGTATCTTCGGATACCCTTGATGGAAACAGCAGCAGTGCCGGATCTTCTTGTAACTCACCAGCGAAAGTCAGCACTACCACCGACTCTCCTGTGTCACCTGCCCAAGCGGCTTCTCCATTTATTCCACTAGATGAACTTTCGTCTAAGTGATTCATTCATCTTGAGACTCTTTTAGCAGTGGAGAGAGAGAATAATCAAGTTGGAGCAAGCACTGAACTTTGTCGATTAATTTGAGGCTATTTCCTATTTGACCCCTTTTCTTTTTTGAAATTTCCTGAAATGATGTTATTCTAGAGAACTTCTATGTCAGGTTCCTGCGGATACCCTTGAATTCAGTGTAGTAATATTTTCAGACGTTTCCCCAATAAGTGTTTTGAAGCATACATCTTTACGCTGCTAATATGTCTAAATACATGTTATCCCTTGATTTTTTTAAATAATTGAGAGCTCTATTTATTTATGGGATTATTAAGTTCTGATGAAAATATAAATGTTGACTTATTCAGCATAGTAAACTGATGTTTAAAATTTCATACTTCATGCCCACACTAATTTTTAATGCTATTTTCAGTGGTTGCCATTTTCCATTTGATGAAGAACGATAACTTGACTATACAGCTTTTAAATACTTTAGTTATATCAATCTAGTAGTTGTCTGTTTTACCCAGGATTTCTTGGATATTTAGTTTTCTGGTTACAGAAGTGGATGGGAGGGTAAATGATTAAAGAACAAATTATAAATTTTGCAACAAATCCTTTCAAATTAAGTATAAAAGTAAACATTTAAGAAAAACATTTTTAATGAAATTTTAATAGTAATTCTAGTCAGACAAATACACTATAGAGAAAGTAAAAATTTTCTTTTTCTTTTTTTAACCAGAGAGTGCATTTGCTTGGGTGTAATCCTAAAGTGAAATGGGGCAGTGCCTTGCAGTCTTTGCCCACTGTACATAGGCTGAGGCTAGGCTCTTTGTACTACTGAAACTTAAAAAGTTTTGAAATGTAGAAAATGTGTGGGAAGGCTTGTTGAACTTCGGGGCACCCAGGTAAACAATACTCTCTCAATTGTTGATATACTTTAAAATACTCAGTTGTGCTTCAGTTCCAAAAATGATTGCCAACCAGGAGCCAGGGCAATTTTTGGCTGCTTTTCTGCTCTACCCATCTGTCACCTTACTGGTTTTCCCTTGTTCAGGAAGAAAGCAGCTGTTTCCTTGCCAACAGGTCCTTCCTCTCCATCTCCCACCAAACTAGGGCATCATTGATTAGACAAAGGTACAGTGTAACTTGGATCTCTGACAGCAACAACAGGACTGTGAATTGTTTAACCTCTGTGGTTAAAGCTGCAGCTTGGTTGTCTGCCTTGGGGATGTCGGTGAATTAAGGGATGATGATTTGCAAGGGAAAATCAGTGGAGAGTCACATAGGTAATTCTTATTAACTTAGGTTTTGCTAAAGGCAGAATAGTGGAATGTTCTTTTCTTTGCCTTTACAATTAAGACAAAATATTTAATAAGAATAGCAAATTGTTTTATATTATGCTTCCTTATACCTCATATATCTTCCTTAACTAGATAGTTTTACAGAAAGAATGGCATACAAAGAGTAAAGGGGAAAAATAACTCAGAACAACAACAAAAAAGCTCTGACTTTTTAAAGTTACTTACGGAGACTAACAATTTTGTGGAATTTTTACAACTATGAGAATAAATGGAACTGGTCAACTCTTGACAGTTGCCTCAAGATGGAGTGAAATTACATCGAGGGTAAGACTGTCCACAGGTTTCAAATTCTCTCTGGTTAATAGTGTTCATGTGCTCCCATTCTCGACCTTGTTCTTTAAATTTAAACTTAAATATTCTGACTTCTTGTTGAGTACCTTGCCCTGCTTCCAGAGGTATTTGAACTTCATTGTCTTCAACACAGAAGCGGTTACTTTTCTCAGTTCACCTGTTCTTGCATTATCACAATTGATGTCATCACTAATATCCTAAGCTAGAAACCATGGAAGCCTCTGACTTTTCCTTTTCTCTGTTGGATTAGCTTAATCACCAAGTCCTGTCAACTTCTGAAATGAATCTCAAATTTCTTACCTTCTCTTATCTGTTGCCCCTGATTTTGCTTAAGTTTCAGCCTGTCTTCTGTCTCCTTTTGGTTCAATCTTCATACTACCTCTTGAGTAATCTTTCTAAAATTTAAACTTGATGTGTTTTCACTCTCTTGCTTGAAAACCTCTTTAAGGAATGGTTTCTTTAGCCTAAGATAGAAGGTCCTTTATGATCTGGCTGTATTCTGAAATAGCTCCAATCCTCTCATCTCTGTCCCAGTATACATCTTCTTTCCTTCTTATGCTGCAAACGCTAGACCACTTGATATTCTTCAAGTATGTCATGTACTTTCATGTGTCTGTGCCCTGGGATAGATTTTTCCTTCTCCCTAAAATGCCATTCCTGTCCTTTTCAGGCAGGTAAATTACACATGATTTTAAGTATGAAGGCAATGTATACCTACTGATTATAAAATATTTAAACAATGTACATATCTATGTGTGTGTGTTTTTTTTTTAAGTCTGCTTTTAACTGTAAAATTCATTTTTCCTCTCCACAGGTAACTTCTGTTAACAATTTGGTATATATTGTACAAGGCGTGTTACTGGCATTTCCATGTATATATGTATATAAATGCAGGAAACCAACATGTCATTGACACCTCTCTTCTTTTCTTTCCGCCATATCTAGTCATTCCTCAAGTCTGACTGATTTTTATCAGCTAGAATCTATCTCCTTACTTCTACTTCTGTTGCCACCCTGATCCAGGCTACCAGCATTTCACTCTTAGGCTTCTGAAGCAACTACCTAACTCCCACTTGTGCCCATCACACTCGGTTGTCCATCCACCTTCCATACAGCAAGTAGAGTCATCCTTTTGAAATTGCGGCACTGATCCATCTCCCAGCTGAAAGCTTTTCATTTTTTTCCTGTTGTTCTCATGAGTATGCCAAAATGTATGTATTCTGGGCTAGGAGGCCCTGAGGAACTTGGTCCTTCCCTCTTCTTGTTTTCTGTGCTTCACCCTGTCTTGCTTTTCTTTTCCTTAAATATATCATGTTCTCACCTATTTTAGATCCTTTTCCTTGAAGGTATGGAAACATTTATTTCTGTAAGCTTATTCTATATAGTTGGTAAGTTTTTAAATCAGATGAGGTTCTAAGGGTATATGGACAATTTACATGATCATAGTATTGTTCATAACTTCATTCTGTAGAATGTAAGGGCTTATTTAGCTCGTGTGAGAATTATCCTTCAAAAAGCATTTTTAAAGTATTAGTATTGCTAATCTGTAAACTTTGTGCAAGAAGCCCTAAAGCCAATAGCAACATTTACTTAAAGTACAGTTTGTCACATGTAATAAACCTCTGGTATATTTTCCTTTGTTGTGCACACAGTGTAAATGGGAGAAATAATTAAGGATCGTTAAATCCAAGGCTGCTGGATGTTAGGACCCTTAAGCGTACTTAAAAGATTGATTGTAATCAAGAGTAACTTGTATCAGGTTGCCTTCCAGTGATTCACATTTATTAGTTCAACAAGTTACATACCTATAGCAAGAGACCACTTTACTTGGCAATAAAATTGGGGAAAGAATCAAGACTTAAATGAGGAAAACAGGTCTGAGAACATTTTTTCTTCTGGGTATGTTTATAGATTAGTAGAACAATTTTGAAGATCTAACAGAGGTGGGAATCAAGGAAATGGTTGCCAGACAATGAACCAAGATCTTGATGATTATTTCTTGAGTGGCACCAGAGAACAGAAGAAAGAGTTGGCCTTGGAAAGGAGATCTGGAAACATACTTTTCTTCTGAAACAGGAAAGAGAGTGAAAAGACTAGGCAAAGGTATCAGCAAATGTTGAATTGATTTGTTGTTGCAGGGGGTTTAAAGGTATGAGGTAGCTATATGAAAAGTAGAATTTGTTTCTGATTGTGCCTATTTTCCAATTATTGAGGAATCTGGGATACATGAGGATAGGGACAGGAGGTCATTTGGAAGCTCGAGTGCAGAAAAGGTTTAATGTTGCCTCTGAGAATCTGTACAGGAGCAAGTTTAGGACAAGTAGAAGGCTTAGTAGGCTATGCTGGATGCCAGGTTGCAGTTGGGTGGCAGGCACAAAGGAAGTGGGTTGGATTGACTTGGTTTGGGAATTGGTTAAGTGGGTACTAGGTAAATCTCTGTGAAGCAGTTAAGTGTTGTGCTGCAAGTGTAGTTTGAATGATTGGCTGAGGCATTGAGGATGGTAAGAGAAGGGAGCAGAGGCTTATGGACTAGGGCACTTTTTTCAAGGCTCTACCTTATCAGCCATGGCAAAGTATAGAGAATCTTGTCTCAATGTAGGTCTCTCACTGTAGCAGTTTTGCTCGTATTTTTCATGACTTAGAGAATCAGGGCTGAAGGCAAGCCTTGAGTTCCACTTATTTGGTAAAAATTGTGTCAGATTGCTCACTATAACCAAGACAGAGTTCTTTGTGGCTTCTGTACCTTGCCATCCAAGTAAAAATTTTCTTAAAAGTTAAAATGTCCTTTGTATAAAAAATAATAAAATACTTGCTATATGTCAGGGACTGTTCTAAGTGCTAAGCAAAGTATCAGTGCATTTTGAATCTATCACTATTATCTGAGCTAAGTGCTACCGTTATCCTCAGTTTATAAATAAGAAAATGGAGACACAGAGAAGTTGAGTAGCTTGCCCAGGATTCCAGAGCTGGGAGGCAGGCAGCACATCATGGTGGTTAAGAATACAGACAGTGGAGTAGGATGGCTGTGGTGAGGATTGAATGGATCCGTACATGGAATGTGCTTACAACGACGCTGGGCAGTTATCATCCTTGACTGATGAAACTCCTGCTTTCACTTGAAGGATAATATACTATCTTTCAAGGCCGGCTATCCTTTTATAAAGTGATTATTTCTGATGTTAGCCTTTCTTATAGTGAGCAAACATTTCCTTCTAACTTCCACCATTAATTCAAGTCCACCTCTGGCAAATGCAAAACAAGCCTTACTCTTCTTTTTATAGGTGATAGCCCCCTTCTAGAAATCATAAGTACTGATCCCTCTCTAATGACTACCTCTTCCTTCCAGATTTTAGAAATCTTGAGCCATGTCTTCAGTATGCTCTCTGTGAAATAAAGCTATCATTGCTTGGCAGCCAAGATTTTCACCAGATTGTGATTCCCTTATGACCGTTTGCCTTCCTGGGTAGGAAGTGATAAATGGCCTGATAACACGAGCTTTTGCCAGTAATAATAATAATGATATGTTAATATTTCTTGAGCATTCAGCATGGGTCCGGACACTCTTTTTAGTGCTTTACATTTATGAGTTTTTAAAATCCTCAAGACAACCCTGTGAGGCAGGTGCTATGGATTGAAGAGATGAGAAAACCAAGGACATTTTCTCAAGTCCTTATTTCTATTTTTTTTCTTTTGAATGTAGGCCCTTTTGGTTTTTTTTTTTTCCTTATAGACATATTTTTTTAATTACTTGAGGTAAAGCCTATTTCCCAGCTAACTGTAGCAACCTGCTTTATTTTGCTAGTGCTGCTACTTCTGTTTTGAATCAAATGATAGGTAATCATCCTGAAAACAGTATTCTCATATTAGAGGAAGACATGGGGAAGATTTTTTTTTAGTAATAGATAAAAAATTAAAGTGTATAGAAGGAAGTCATGGTTTTACAGCTTTACATATTTTTTCCCTATAGCATTAATTGTATTCAAAGATTTAGGGGAATTTTTTTGTCTTAGAACAAAAGGGGATTGGTAGCTAGCTATTGTTATAAATACATGGTAGAGTACAAAGCCAAAGAACAGGAAGAAATGACCACTTTACCAAGCAGCTTCAAGGAGTAACCATATCCTCCATGGTAAGCATTCTCTTAGGGTGATTGACAGAAGAGTTTCTGACAGGAAGGTTGGGATCCAGTACCAGTCCAGCATGGACACATGCAGATGTGAGATCACTCACAGCCATGTCTACCCTCAGGGGAAATGAGTTGGCCCTCTCTACTCCAATACGATGACACACAAATTCTGGCTGCACTGGGGGTGATGGGACTGGCTTCTCTGAAACTCCTACTTTTTAAAAAATTTTAAAAATTAGAGGCCAGGTGTGGTGGCCCAAACCTGTAATCCCCACACTTTGGGAGGCTGAGGCGGGCAGATCACCACCTATTATTTTTTAAATCCCATGGTAGGATCACATAATAGGGAAAAAGCTGGTGAATTCTGTAAAGGGAAGTGAGTAGAATTGTGTTAGGGTAGGGAAGGAAGCATTTCAGGTAGCCACCTTCTCACTGCCGATAAGAGACCAAGTGCTGAAGGCCAGCAGCAGGCAGTGTCTGAAAACTAGTCTGATATCATCACAGTCTTCGAGGGAAAATATGATTCTATTGGAGTTTTCATGTCAAGAGCAGACTCAAATTTAAGAAGTCCTTAGTCCTTTTCTAGAAGTACAAGTGTTTCTTATACATGAGGGGTCAGATCAGAAAGAAAGCAATTCAACTCTCTTCTTCCCATCCCTCCTTAATACAGAATTTATTCACTTTTCTTGCCAATCTTTCATTTAAAGACGTCTTGTAAGTCTTCTTTAATTCTGTTTCCTCCTCCTTCTCCTGCATAGATCAGATCCTTAACAGGCCTTTCCTTGACTAACATTCATTTTTCTTCCAATTTTTCTTTCTTTCTAATCTTTTTTGGGGGGCGGGGGAGAGCCTTGCTCTGTCACCCAGGCTGGAGTTCAGGAGTGCATTCTCGGCTCACTGAAACCTCTGCCTCCCAGGTTCAAGCGATTCTCCTGCCTCAGCCTCCTGAGTAGCTGGGACTATAGGCATAGGCCACCATGCCTGGCTAATTTTTGTATTTTTAATAGAGACAGGGTTTCTCCATTTTGGCCAGGCTGGTCCCAAACTCCTGAGGTCAGGTGATCTACCTGCCTCAGCCTCCCAAAGTGCCGGGATTACAGGCTTGAGCCACCATGCCCAACGTCTTTCTACCTTAAAAAACAATCAAATCTTTCATCAGCTTTAGATAATTAAAGCCAAATAGCAACAAATGTTGATCTTTTTCTGTAGAAACCATGTTAAAAATGGTTACACAAGCATCAAGCATCTCCACCCCAATCATACACCTCGTCCTTGAGAACTGGTGATGCTGTGTTTCAGTTTGGTCCAGTTCTCCCTGGTGACCCTTTCCTCCCTTTATTAGTTCCACAGCACTGCAGGCAAAGGAGAAAAAGGGATGGGTGGGCCCAGGAGGGACTGTCCTGGGAGTCAGGCTGATACTTTTGACTTTTATATAAGTAGAAAAAGTATTCATGATCTTCCCTCTGCAAACTCTCCCTTCAGCTTTAAACTTGGAACTTTCTAGCTTAGCCATGTATTTTATGCCTTTAAAGGGTTTGTACTTTTCTCCATATATATCCAGACGACCCTAAGTCCAAAAATAGCCAGCTGCTGGATCTTAACTGAAAGTTAATTTTATCATATTAGAGGAAGATATCAGGAAGGTTTTTTTGTTTTGTTTTGTTTGTTTGTTTTTTGTTTTATAGTAATAGGTAAAAAATTAAAGTGTATAGAAGGAAATAATGGTTTCACAGAACCATGGTTTTGGTTTGGAATCTTCAATGTGAAGACTCATCATCCTCCTCAAACTTGGTAGCTTGTAGGGATTTGTTTTTCCTATATCCAAAAACAGCATCTCTGTGACTGGGCCAAATGCGTGCATAACCTGTGGTGGAGTCAGGCTCATGTTTAGGACCTCTTTGAGCATCTGGCTGGTGACTGTCACTCCCTCTATAGTCTTCCCCATTGCCTGCTTGGGTCCCACCATTATCTCAAAGCATACAAGTGAACTACTATCTCAGAAACTGATAGCATGTTTGACATATGCTGGGACTGAAACCAGATTCTGTGTACTGATAAGAGAGCAGGTGGAAATTTCTATCAGGAAATGAAGGAAATGGATAGGAATGAAGGAAAGGATATGCTCAGATTCCCAGTGCTTGAAACAAACACAAGGATGGAAGCTGACATCATCCAACCACCTGGGGTTCATCAAGGGAAGTGTAAGGTCTGGCATTCCAATCAGCTTGATACAGCATCAATCACCCCCTGAATTTCAGCAGCAATTGTAGAACCTGCCGTATCAATAATGGCATCAGTCTCTTCAATCACATCAAAATGGGCCTCATTGTTGGTGTATTTCACCCCAGTACATCGCTAAGGCACCACTGACAATTATCCAGTGGGAAATTGGTCACCCACTTGGTGCTTCCTGTGATGGTGTTGAAAACCGTTTGAAGGATAGTGGCAGGCTTTATCCATTCTTTGAGGATATTTGACTTGGTAGCCAACAAGTCAGTTTGGAAACCCAATGCCAAGCATCTCTTTTAATGCCTCGTAAGCCACAATCACATTGACCTTGATCACTAATTCTGAACAGACCCCAAAATAATTCTGAAATGTGTCCATTACTCAGTGAAGAAACTCAGTGACAAATAGGGGAGAGACCTCTGTCTGGATTACAATCACAAAAAAGATCATGTGGTGGTAAACACTTAAGAGACAGTGGTGGCTGGACACGGTGGCTCACACCTGTAATCCC